CATCATTCAATGGTTATGGCTATATGTATTATTATTAGGACCACATAATTTGATTGATATTTTATCAATTTATAACTTTTCTTCTTAAATATCTAGTTTATAATGTTTGGAAGCATCTACATATAAACTAACTTTAAGAAAAATGATTAGTACATATACCGGTTCAGTTACTAAAATTTGTAATTTTAATTTTTTTTAATCTTTCACTTAAATTTAAAAATAATAATTTTTTAATAAATATATGGTGTAGTAGTGTGTGTTAAACTGGATAATTAACATACCAATTATTGTCTTTAACCATAATATATACAGCCATAACTACACAGCCCATTCAAGGTCATTTCAGTTATTTCCCATATCTCACAAATATCTTTAAAAAAAAGAAGAAGAAGAAGAAGAAGAAGAAAAAAAAAAAAGAAGATGGAGAAAGAGTAAATGAGCAATGAAAACCCATTGCAAAAAATGGTGCGAAATTGCTCCTGCAAAGCTGTTTAATTTAGCCAAAACTACAACATCTTGTATAAGGTTTTGGCAAATTACAATTCCAAGGTCTTTTTCCAACCCAGAACCCTTTCCTTCTCTCTCTACAAAATGTACAAAAATCTTTCCTTTCTTCTTTCTCTCTAGAAAGTCTACACAAAGAAAGAAAGAGCTATAAATAGACAGAGAAGAAGAAGAAGAGTAAACAAAACAAATTCCCAACACTTCCACTCCTTCGGGATTCGAAAAATTTTCCGAAAGCTGAAGCGGCCATTCTCCGGCCAAATCTCTCAGGTCTGTTAAAACAAACCATTTTCTTCTCTAGATCTCCTCATATCATGATCTCCTCATATCATATACACACACTTCTAATTATATTATAACCTTCTCCTTTTTATAATAATTTATATCTGCATATAGTAGTGAGTGCATGGGTTGCTTACTCAAGTTTTTTTGTTATCTTCTTAGATCTGTTGCTCAGACACAGACTCTTCTCTTTTTCCATTACATAAACACGATGATCTTTCCATTTCCGTTTCTTCTTCTGTCAGAATCCATCTCTAAATTCTGTCCTTGGGTTTTTACATTTTTTTTTTTCTGTATCTTCAAGATATGGGTATGCTTTTCTTCCTCTTGCATGCTTACTTCAACTCCTTCTAAATTCTACTTCAGAGAAATAGTATAATAACCTGAACTAATTCAGTTTAGTTTTCCTTTGGCTAATTAACATACACACATAAACTCAAAAAAGTGAGAAAGAGAATGAGATTCATACATATTTGCACCCATGAGTAAAAATATTGTACTATAAAATGGATTAATAAAGTCTTGAATTAATTTTCTTGGTCGGCTGGGTACATAGGGTATATGGATCCTAGATCTATCAACTTTTCCTCATCACCCCATATGTATTGATGATTTTCTGTCACTTGCAGTATTTAAAAAAAAAAAAAAAATCCTCCCTCAAACCCAGATCTACTATATATTTGCTTTGATGAATTTGAGAAGAATATATATTGTGAAATCTGAGCTTAATTGTGGCCTCTCCTTCTTGACAGAAGCTTTTCTGAGCACATCTTAGTGCCCTAACACTGATCTTTTTCTTACCAAAGATTAAAAGGAAAATCAAAAGGAAAATTAGGTGGTAAAGAAAAGAAAAAGAAAAACAAATTTTTTTTTTTTAAAAAAAAAAAATCTAGTCTTAATGGAAGTTTCTAATTTACAGTACAATTGATTAATTCTAGGTTTTTATGCATGTATATATATTTATCTCAGGGATCAGGAAGATGGGGAGAGGAAAGATCGAGATCAAGAGGATTGAGAACACCACCAACCGTCAGGTCACCTTCTGCAAGCGCCGCAACGGCCTCCTCAAGAAAGCTTATGAGCTCTCTGTTCTCTGCGATGCGGAAGTTGCTCTGGTCGTCTTCTCCAGCCGCGGCCGCCTTTACGAGTACTCAAACAACAAGTAATAATATTTCATCTTTCTATCTCTTCCAAAAAAAATATTAATAATCATTCAGAACCCTAACTAACTGCATGCCTTCTGTTTTGAAGTGCATTTAAAAATAATTTAATATGTTATTCTATACTATTAAAAAGTAAGAATATTGGTTCAGGCTATAATAATTATAAGCTGTGTCTGAATTCCGAGGGAAAAAACTGACGAAAACAAGGAGTGAAAGCTTGAAATCTTAGTTGTAGATGTTAACTGTGGATTTTTGCTGTCCTGGAGAGAGTATCTCCTTTCCTAATATAGCTGACAGATTATTAGTGCAGCCTGACAACACAAAATAATTAATAATAATAATAAGTACCTTGATTGGTTCACACTCGGATCCAACACCCGAATGTGCACCCCTACATAAAAAAGATAATTGAACCGAATGGTGATGGACTTTTTTTTTTTTTTTTCAATGAGAGTGTGCACACGTCATTTTCCTAATAATAATAACCCTTCAACTCTTTTTTGTTATTTTTAATATTTTTTTTTGGGTGAAAACAAGAGAAAAGAAATGAAATTCATTTTAAAATTTATAGATATTTCAGTTGCTTGCAGTCTCATTTGAGATTCGAAAAGATCTCTCTTCTCATGCTTAGACCAATCCCCAGCCAGCAACAAACTGAAGTTTTGATTATCAGTCAGCTTCCGTACAGGCAGGCATCAATGTGGAGCTGATCATGTTTTTCCTCTTCTGTTGATTATCAAGTCCTAGCTTTCTATAGTCTTTTCATTCTACTTTAAGCTCTCAAAATTACTAAGTTAGCTGATCTTCACTTTTGTTTGTCTTGTTTACTGAGTCATTCAGTCATCACCACTCTTTTCCATATCTTCTATGATCCTTTTGGATTTGATCTTCTTTCCTTTTACCTGGACCAGAAGAAGAAAAGCTGTTACTTTCATGCTCTTAACCCATTCTGTCCCTGCTGTTGCTGCCTGCTGAGCCATATCCATTGCAAAGCTAGCTTTTAGCTTATGGTTTTCTTCTGCGCTTTAATTTCATGGATGGAACATTTATCTAGTACCATCATTCCATAAAGTCAATTCTTTCAAAGATGCATTAAAAGGAAGGTATGGGAAAATGGATTGATGTTAACTCCGTTTATCGTCGGTCAAGTGGTAAGATATGATATGAACCATACTAGAAATATAGGTTTAAATTCCCCTAATGCCTGCAGACTAATTAAGCCTACCACTCTTGTGTGAAGCCTATATCCTCCTTTAAAGTGGAATGGTCTATGGAAAATATTTGAGTGGACTTCAAATACTATCATTTTCTTTAAAAAAATGAAAAATTAATGTATGTATACAATGTATTCTACATTAAAATACATACAATGTAATAATACTTACATTAATGTGTGTATGTGTATATATATATATATATATATATATTGGGAACGCAGCATAAGATCAACCATAGAGAGGTACAAGAAGGCATGCTCAGACAGTACAGGCACAAGTTCAGTTACTGAGATCAATGCTCAGGTATAAATATTACTTCTAATTCATAGTTCTAATTTTATTTTATTTTTTGTAAGAATTACATTTGAAAACACTCTGCTAATTATCGAAAAAATAATTACTAATTTATTGCAAAATCTTTGTCTCTGTTTTGCACAAAATCTTCAACTGGGTATAGTATTATCAACAAGAATCAGCAAAGCTGCGACAGCAAATTCAAATGCTACAGAACTCAAACAGGTAACATATATATACCCATCAATGCATGTCCATTGTGTTAACTACATATATATTTTGCTTTCTTCTGAATTTCTTCTTTACATGTATATATGCAGGCACCTAATGGGTGATGCCTTAAGTAACTTAACAGTGAAGGAGCTAAAACAGCTGGAGAACAGGCTTGAACGAGGCATTACTCGAATCAGGTCAAAGAAGGTAATTAATTAAGTAGTGCCAAGGAAATAAGTAGGTTTATAATTAATTTTAAAGCCCACAACATTTCTCATCCATTTATTTCCACCATGACTTCTTTTATCTGCAATGAATTTCACACTCGTTTCATATATAAATGAAAAATTGATACCTGAATATCTTTCAAAATCTCAATCTCTGTACTTTTATTACTAAACAAAAATCTCTTGACATGAAATATATTAGAACCTAATTAATTAATGCATAACCAAAATGGTAATATCAATTTATAAAAAGATTAGTAAAGATGGTTCCGAGGAGCTTTTAACTTTTGAACAATCTGTTTCTCTAAGTTTTATTTTAATTTTTTGTTTTCTCCTTTTCCATTGCAACAGCATGAAATGTTGCTGGCTGAAATTGAGTACTTCCAGAAAAGGGTAAATATATCTGGACTTTACATTTTCCATAATTCATCTGATTTCTATATATGACATATCTAATATCTTTCTATTCCTAATGGACTAATTAATGTCCCAATTTGCTAGGAGATTGAGCTGGAAAACGAAAGCGTTTGTCTGCGAACCAAGGTATTTTACAGTTACACCCCAATGAAAGAGGAAGTAGAAATAATATTAAACAATAAATCAGATTTAAGTAAATATGTAGTGTTTATTTTCCAAAAAAAAAAAGGAGAATGTAGTGTTTGTAAACATTCAATCTAAAAAAAAAAAAAAAAAAAAAAAGAATGTAGTGTTTGTAAACATTCAATCTAAAAACCAAATTGAAATTTGGTGTAGTATTCTGCATATTGTATTTAAGCACACAAGTTCACTTTAATTCGTCAGAATTTTCCTACTTAACAATGTTAATTTGCTTGTGAACTAATTGTTGCAGATAGCAGAAGTTGAGAGGTTTCAGGAAGCCAACATGGTAACTGGACAAGAGCTCACAGCCATCCAGGCTTTAGCTTCTCGCAATTTCTTTAGTCCTAATGTCATGGAAGGCGGCACTGCCTACTCACATCCTGCAGACAAGAAGATGCTTCATCTTGGGTAATTTTTTATCCAATAGCCATGCGTAAATTACATATTCAATCCATCTCAATTATAAGCAGATCATGCATAGACTTCAATAGTCCAGATACCACTGTTTTTGGTGTGAGTTCAAGATAGAAAATTGGGATGACTAGTTATTGTCTTAGCCATACCTACATGAACTCAATCGGGCTCAAGTATCGGACAGATATCTATATACTATATAGTTACGTTCATATAGATTTAAAAGTGTTTCACAAGTATTCAAGGTCAACACTTTTATATATTCCTTTTTGTACTCCATATATTCATGTGTCATGTAATTTAAATTTAAAATTTTTTCTTTTAATGTGTTTTTTATCGACTCTTAATTTACCTTACGATCGATATTGAAATTTTGAGTTAACTGAAGCATCTTTTTTTTATTGTGCAGGTGAAACAGATGGAGATTACCAAATCTGAATTGCATGGGTGTGTTTTGATATTACCGTATGTATGAAATAAAAGGTGTAAAATATTTACTAGTAAGTATTGTGATGGAGTTGCTGTCCCAGCAGGGCTACTAGTTTGCTTAAAACTCTGAACAACTACTATGTGGTATTTTGAACTTATTAACATGAATTATTAATATGGATATGTTTCTTTTGGAGACTATTTAATTAATTTTATGATATGGGATTAATAGAAATGTAATTATCTAATGGTACTTTTTTTTCTATTTTTATTGAAAGATTGTTATCAAATAAGCAATGCATATGTCAGCAAAAAAATTTAAATTATAAATGCATTTTATTTTTTTCCAAAACAAAGTTTTTCATCCATAGCGAAGATTTAAATTTTTTTTTTTTAGAAATAATAGCGAAGATTTAATTTTAAATGCAAAGTCTTGAAAAAAAAAAAAGGAAAAGAAAAGAGAGGAAGGCTAAAGAATGAAGGAGGCCCATTTATTTTGAAATCAAAACCCAAGAGAAAAATCCAAGGTTAGACGGGAAAAGGATAAATCAGCCCAAATAGAGGGAGACTGGACCTAGCCCATTGGTGCCTTGGTGGTATCGTCGGCATTGATTCCATCGAACGCCACCAACCTCCATCTTTTCCGATCGCCGTTCACCTGCACCTACTACATGAACCCCATATGTGTATACATACCATCTCAGAGAGAAAGAGAGGGTAAGCTGAAGTAATGGCTAGCACCGTCCACTTCAATTTTGTTGTTGTAACTCAGCCCTGTGCTTCCCTCTATACTTCTTCTTCTTCTTCTTCTTCTTCAAATTCCAAGCTCAAACTCCACAACCCTTTTTCCTCCCCCAGTTTTCCTCTTATCCCACATAAGTCTTCTATTTCTCTCCGTTCCAATCGAACCCTTCTCTGCTCTGGTTACGGGAACCCTCCGCTGTCCAAAGCCCCCCATTTCCGGGTATTGCGTACTACAATCCTGAATTCAATTTCCAATTTCCAAACTCTCAAGACTGATTTCTTCTTTCTTTGGATGAAAAAAATGTTTGCTTTTAGTTAAAATTTTCTTTTGCTTATTAATGTCTGGAAGGTTGTGGGATTAGCTAAGGCTGAGCCGCCATTGAAGGTAATGATATCAGGGGCTCCTGCATCTGGTAAAGGTACACAATGCGAGCTCATCAAGAATAAAGTAAGCATTTTTAAAATGGTTTGACGTTCTTATTTTTCCTTAACAATCTTATCTGTCGTTATCTTCAGAATTTACATTAGTTTATCATTCTTTTGTTTGTCTGATGAGTTCAATATTGTATCTACTTGTTTATTCTGTTATTCAAGATTTTTTTTATTAGTAAAAAAGTCTAGTTAATCTAGTTCATGATCATAGGTCAATTGGGTGTTTTTGTAACTTGAAATTATTAAGAAAGCTATATCCAGATTTCATACACAAAACAAGCATATGTTTAAGCTGGAATTAATAAGGTTTTCCACTTATGATGACAGAAATGCTTAATTGTATATTTGTATCATCACATTGTTTCCAGTCAATACTTAGAAAAATATTAATATGTTTTCTTAAGGCTCTGCTTTCTCTTCAGTCCCATTCTTTTATATCATTATTTTATTGGGTATACTACGTGAGTTTCTCATTTGTAACTAACAAATGAGAAAAGCAGACTGAATCAAGTCATCCTCGTATGTGCAGTATGGTGCGGTGCATATTGCTGCCGGAGATTTGCTGAGAGCTGAAGTTGCTGAAGGAAGTGAAAATGGGAAGCGAGCAAAGGAATACATGGAGAAAGGGCAGTTGGTGCCAAATGAAATATTAGTCAAGGTAGGTGATGATTATTTCTGTCTGTCATAGAAATCAGAATTTTTTCTTTTTTTCCTGTACTGATCATTCTGTAGTTTCTGGTCATGTAGATGGTGAAGGAGCGTCTTTTACGGCCAGATTCCCTAGAAAATGGCTGGCTTTTAGATGGATATCCTAGGAGCACATCACAGGCAGCAGCTCTTCAGGAATTTGGGTTTCAGCCTGATATTTTCATTTTATTAGAAGTGAGAATATACCATTGCTGGTGATTGATTTTTGAATTATTTCTGCATTCATATTTAGGTCATTGCAATTACATCATTAGGTGAAGAACAAAGATAGGCATGCTTTTTTTTTTTTTTTATTTGCGTTTTAGAATAAATATAAAGATTGATTTTTTTTGCAATCCTGATGTAATGCATCCACCTCTGTTTACAGGTTCCTGAGGAGGTTCTTGTTGAGAGAGTGGTAGGACGGAGGTTAGATCCAGTTACAGGGAAGATATACCACTTAAAGTATTCACCCCCTGAGACTGAAGAAATTGCGGCCAGGCTTACCCAACGCTTTGATGATACTGAAGAGAAGGCATGCATAAACCATTCTTTCTAGTCTCTTGTTTGATTATGTTTGGTTCATATTTCTTTGGTTAAGTTCTTCCATTTTTTCACTTTTCTGTTGTCTTTTCTAGTCTCTATTTGTGGTTGCATAAGGTTATTTGGCCAGGATTGTGTGAATAACAACTTTGTTTTCCTCCCTTATTTTGCTTTATTTAGGTGAAATTGCGGCTGCATACCCATCACCAAAACATGGAGGCTGTACTTTCAATATATGAAGATATTACTATCAAGGCATGTTATACTTTTCTTTCTCTCTATAGATACTTTGTATTTTTGTCCAATTCTAGTATATTTGAACCACAAAAAAAAGAAAGAAAAATGGAGATGAAGCTGTTTGCTTTAGATTTAGTTGCCAAAATACTTGTCCTAGGTATCTTTAAAGCATATTTGCCAAGCAAAGGAGGCAACAGGAATGAAAACTCTAATTATAATAAGAAGATGAACTACGGTTACAGTGTCCATAGCTAGGTGGTAATTTTAGAATTGGGCCCAAGAATCATATGATCACTAAAAAATAATCACTTCTGTTGAACCATCTCTCCTTGGCGTGCTCATAGTTTTGTGCTGCTGCTTTGCGTATAGACATCGAAGTATCTAGATGCTTTAATTCAGATTTAAACTACCATTTATTGGTTTAAATTAAACAACTATCCGATTCTTTAATCTTCTTGCAAGGAAAACAATAAAGGTGTCATAATAAACTTTAAAGACATCATTTCACTAATGTTTTTCTTTTTTGAGTATTCCTCATTTCCCATTTGTAAAGTTGTTTTCTTCTGATTTAGTTAATGGAAAAACATGTTGTTGTTTGGATGGGATCACTTTACATCTTTGTATAAAAGGGGGAAAAGTGGGAAGGAAAGAATTTCTAAAAGCTCATAACTAATTTAAGAACTAAACTTGAAGCCATGAATCCAAATTGGATTACTGTGTTTTCTCATTTCAGGTTAATGGAAATGCCCCCAAGGAGGAGGTGTTTGCTCAGATCGACACAGCCCTGGCAAAACTACTTGAGCAAAGGAATGCCAATTTGGGATCTTTAACGTGTTAACACTGGAAAAAAGAAGACGGCCTAGTAATCTGCAACGAATACAGTGTAATGTTTACCAAGATGCATTGTAATGACTTCTTTAAAAGATGAAAATCTTTCAATAAAGATTCTGAATTTTAGAGAATCTGTATATTAGTTCATAGTTTTTTGTTACACAACTAATTCCCCCCTTTCTCCAATATGATCTGTAGACAAGCACTACCAAACGTGGTGATCGCTTTAGGACCTCAACTTATTCTTGTACCATTTTTCACAATTGCTAAGACAAATTATAGTCAAATTTTGTCGAGGTATTGGACAGATAGCATACAAGAACCTGTAGGGTGGTAACCATGCAGCTGCCATAGCTCCAGCTCTGTGGAAGTGGAGAACATGTCTGGACTGTTTGTTCTTCACTAGCTCTTTGACAGCAGACACCAGACATTGGATGACCTTGCCAGTGGCAATTGGGTTGATTTCTTGGTGGCTCCCTGGCCACTCTCTGTAGTTTTTCTGCGGTTTCAAGTTCAACTTCCATTGCTCAGGCTACCATGAATTTGACTACTCAGACATGAGGACTGCTGACTAATCCCAGAAGCAGCAGCAGCAGCTTCTATGAGGACTTAATAGAAAATAATTTAACTATGAGCTGTATTTAAGCAACTGTTTAATTAAAATGATGCATGTGATACTAATAATGAAATTAATAATAATTTTTATATTATTTAATGTTAACTAATATAAAAATAATATAATAATTACAATCTTACTTTATACTCTTTGGGGTAAAGTTAGAAAAACACTTTAAATATTAGAGCTCAATTACACATTAAAAAAAATTCAGGGACTGGTTCTTATTTTTAATAATGAGCGGTTAAACAGTTAAAGAGGAGGAAAGAAAGTTCTAGGCTTTTCGCAAAATCGACATAAAATAAATGAATTTGTCGATTACGTCCAGAAAAGGAGCACTGCTAAAGGCGCTTTGTATTATCGATCTTCAACAGCAACAAGGTGTAGTAAGTCTTTGAATCCATGGCAATTGGAATGGAGTTGAAGGAAGAGGAAAGGACTGGAGGAGGAGTAGCGTTGAACTTTCCGGTGGATGATGAAGAAACACCATCGTCTTCCGTGCAGAAGGTTCCTCCACGGAGGCTCAGACGGCGGCTGCTAGAGTTAAAGACCCCAACATCCGCCGAGGAGATTGAAGCTAAGCTTAGAGAGGCCGATCTCCGTCGTCAGGTTTTTTGTCATACTGAGATCCGCATTTTAAATATTTAAACTTTTGCAATGAATCTCAATTTACTCCATGGAAGTTTCCTTTTTTTCTTTTTATTCTGTAAATTGTTAAGTTTCTGAGGAATGTTTTATGTTTGGCGGTGCAGCAATTCTATGAGTTGCTTTCAAGCAGAGCTCGGAAGATGCAAAATCCAAAAGCTCCATGTCAAGAGGGGGAACAACTCTCAAGAATGTTAGCAAGGTGCATTAGATGTTATCATTTTCTTCTCCTCATTTCTATTATGTTGTTTGCTACTCTTGATGATATAATTATGATGCATCATACTACACACTCAATTGTGTTACAAGCTGCTCCATAGTCCAGGCATAATATTCAGTGCCTTAGCTTTTTGATGGAATGGATATATGTTGAAGGAATATAAAATGACTGGAAGAGAATGTTATATTTTGATCACTGCTCATCTATGTGTAATTGTCTATGGGAAGATCTATGTCATTGCCAAGGTCACGTCTTTCTATGGGTTGTAGTGATGGTGGAGCATGATTTCTGTTGATTTTATTTTGTAGTTATGATTTTCTCCTTCCGTTTTCTTCAGTCCTTTGGTTTTGTTGTAAAATTTCAATTTCCTACATTTTCAGGTGCTGGAGACGCTTTGTCAGATTAAAGAAAACTACTTTTGCTTTGGCAAAAGCTTATGAAGCATTGGGAATTAGTGAGAAGGATGTTAAATTAATGCCATTTGAGCAACTTGTTCTAAAATTGGAGTCAGCTTCAACCATTCAAACAGTGAAAGCTCTAGTTGACCGTTTAGAAATTCGCATACGACTCTCACAGACAGTCGCTGGTGGTCTATCTAGCCTGGAAAACATTGATCACCTTCTTAAGCAACTTGCTACCCAAAATAGAAGGGGGAATACCAGTAATACTAAAAAGAGGAAAGGCTCAAAAACTGAAGCATCTAGTAAAAAGGCAGTTCCAAGCACTATAAGACCACCAAGGTATCCAGTTAGAGTTCTTCTCTGTGCTTACATGATAGTAGGGCACCCAGATGCAGTTCTTAGTAGCAAAGGTGAAAGTGAGACTGCTTTAGTGGAAGTTGCTGCTAACTTTGTTCAAGAGTTTGAATTAATAATCAAGATGATTATAGATGGTCCCAAGCAAATTTCTGAAAAGAAAACTGTTTCTGCAACTCCAACACAGAAAACTTTCAGATCTCAGCTGGAAGCTTTTGATAAAGCATGGTGCACATACCTACATCATTTTGTAATGTGGAAAGTTAAGGATGCTAAGTTGTTAGAGGAAGATTTGGTGAGAGCTGCTCGCGATCTTGAGCTTTCAATGATGCACAAGCTGAGTCCAGGAAAAGATGATGGTGTTCTTATGCATGATAGGGAGGCTATTCAAAAGCAGGTATTTTACTTGTCTTTCATTGCTGTTTTCTTTTCTATCAATCTTTCTTGAGTAACCCAACTTTCTCATTTTGTTAATGGATTATTATGGTGATTCTAGGTTATAGAAAATGAGAAAATCTTGAGGGAGAAGCTACAGCATCTGAGTGGTAATCCTGAACTTCAACACATGGAGTTTGCTCTCTCTGACATTAGATCTAAATCTGTTGAGGAGTGTGAAAGTTCAATAGCATCTCCAATTTCACCTATATCATTTTTGCATCCACCCAGTTCATCAGAAGATGCTTCTGTTTCTCTCTCCAATGGGATAATATTTCAGGATGAAGATTGTGAAAGCTCAAGTTATGATTCTTCATTAGACAAGAAAGCTAGTCATATGCACTCCAGAAGTTCTGCAGATTGTCTTTTCTCTGATGCAATGTTTGTCAGCGAGAATGAAATACTTGTAAATGAAATTCTCCACACACGTCACAGCGGTTTTGCCAATAGCTTTAACCCCAGCAATGATGATGAGAATAGTTTTAAGGTTGCTTCACAGCTCATTTTCATACTCACTTCTCTTTCAGAGTTATTATGGAATGAACCATTGAATTATATGCTTTTTATATGGTGCAGATGTGAAAACCCTTACAATTTATTTAAATTCTTCTCTTTTTCCATTTTGTAGGGAAAAGTGAGAGAGACAATGGAAAAGGCTTTCTGGGATGCTGTGATGGACTCAATGAAGCAGGACAAACCTGATTTCAGCTGGATTATTAAACTAATAAAAGAAGTCAGGGATAAACTGTGTGAAATGTCACCTCAGAGTTGGAGACAAGAGATTGTTGATACCATTGATATTGAAATTCTTACCCAGGTGGCTAATCACGTGGCTATTGTTGTTTCGATGCTGTTATCATATTTATACAAGAGAACTGATATTATTTTCAATTTCTCTTTTATGTCTGTTATTTAATAAAGGTGTTAAGATCTGGTGCTTTGAATGTGGATTATCTTGGGAAGGTCCTAGACTTTGCACTGGTTACTTTGCGCAAACTTTCTTCTCCAGCTAAAGACATTGAGATACAGATCACTCACCAGAACTTATTGAAAGAGTTGCAAGAGATATCTCAATCTGGAGATAAATTAGATTCCACATCCGCCCTTCTAATGGTTAAGGGTCTCCGCTTTGTATTAGAGCAGATTCAGGTTTGTTCCTAGTTTCAAGTTTCTTGTTCTACTTATTTTTTTTGTAATGCATGTCATTTTGTTGATGTTTTATTGCTTTTTTGGCATGCTAATGGCTAATCAGTTACTAACTATTTTTTTTATTTCCATGACTTGGTTGAGCAATGCATTGATCATATTCTCTGCCCATTCTCAGTGCCAAATTAACCATGAATCGAAATTGATGATGATCCATCTACCTGGTTAACTGGAACTGTAATATTTGTGAATGTCATTGAAAACCAACACTAGCAGCTAGCAGTGGTTGGAGATGTATAGAAAAGAGTTCTTAACTGCTGATTAGGAACCCAAGGTGGATCATCTCTCTTAAGTATGGTTGGGTCTTTAGTTATTTTTGTGTCTCTGAACTTCGTAGGTTTGGTGTATCTCTGACTGTTAAAAATCACAGTTCAGCTCTTAAAAATTCAATTATCTGTGAAGTACAGCTAATAATGCATAAATTCTTCTAAAAGAGTTGCTGTCATATTACATTATCTTATTTTACTTGCAGACTCTCAAAAAGGAGGTTAGCTTAGCTCGTATCAAAATGACGGAACCACTCCTTAAGGGGCCTGCAGGAGTAGACTACCTGAAGAAGGCTTTTGCTAAACGGTATGGGCCTCCAGGTGATGCCCCTACATGTTTACCCTTGACAAGGCAATGGCTTTCAACTGTGCGTGTGAATGCAGAGCAGGAGTGGGAGGAACACATTAATTTCCTGTCTGCCATGGAGAACAGCAACAGAAGATTTTCTCGGGGACTGACACCAGCCACTCTTCGGAGTGGAGGCAACATGCCAATGACATCAAAAATAAATGTTCCAGCTTATACTGCAGCAGGTTTGATTTTTGATTGGCTGGGTATTTTTCTTCATTGTGTTTAAATTGGTTAAACTGAGATATTTTCTTAAATTTTATTCAATGCAACTGTGTGGTCAGGTAATGCACAGCCAGAGTGCAGGAGAGAAAAGATTGATTTGTGCATTAGACTTGGTTTGTTAAAGTTGGTCAGTGAGATAAGAGGATTGACCCTGGAGACTCTGCCTGAAACTCTTAAGCTTAATCTTTCAAGGCTGAGGACTGTTCAATCTCAACTCCAGAAGATTGTTGTCATTTCTACCAGGTTGTTTAATATGAAAGTGTTCATTTTTTTAGTCTCTTGTTCTGGATATCTAAACCATTACTGAGTTTAGGAAAACAACACTCATCAAGAACATGGATTAGAAGGTTTAGGGGATCTGTTGTCTGCTTAGTTATAGATGAGATTGAGATATGTGAAATAGTTAGTTCTAGCCCTTAAATTTCACTCTGTTGAGTACTTTGTGCTGAAATCTAGGGTTCTTGTGTTTCACAGTGTGTTGGTATTCCAGCAAACCCTTCTTGGTGATGATTTGGTAAACAGTTCCTCTGACATGGAAGACATCATATCCAAACGTGTAAAACGGCTTGTGCATCTACTAGACAGTGTTGAAGATGCAGGTGTATCAGAAATCATAGATACAATCACTGACTTCTCAGAAGATGGTGACTGTGTGCTGGCCCTTGACAAGGTCAGAGCAAGGAAGCAGGTGATGGAAAACATGTTGAGGAAAAGCTTGCAAGCTGGTGATGCAGTATATAATCTGATATCCAGGGCTGTTTATCTGGCTGCAAGGGGAGCTGTACTTGGAGGAAGTGGGGATAAAGGAAGGCAATTGGTCGAGACAGCTCTCAAGCGTGTGGGAGCAGCTCTTCTTTCAGATAAGGTATTGGAGGCTGCAGAAATTCTTATTGTGGTAGCAATGGTCTCATGCCGTGTCCACGGTGCTTGGTATGAAGAAGTGCTCAAGAGTCAGTAATTTATTCATAGACTTGAAATGTGACTCCTGTATATTGAATTCACAAACACACATGATTTCCATGGAGAAGAAATTGGTGCAGGCAGCACATTGGCTATTTGAGGCAACCCTTCATCCACATAAAGCTATTGATGCTACAGAAGGTTTCATCAACCGTGAGAAACCGGCAAGTTGCATTTGTAATTTACTATATGTGGGGCATTTGTAATTTACTATATGTGGGAAAAATCTCCAATCTGTATTATTTACAGTGCTTAAAAAGGGACTGGAAATGAAATTTGTAAATACAATTATAGAATAGCATTGTTCCTTAGATTTGATTTGTAAATTAAATCTCCTGTTCGATTGGTACAAAAATTTCAAACCATTTTAACATAATTCTTCATGAAAATTAACATCTTTTGCTGTAGAAGCAAAGCATTTCTTCACTCACAAACCACTTACCCCAAATATAGACAAACCCAAAAAAAAAAAAAAATCCAGATTGCTTAAACATAATTGCAGGCTACTTTGCACCAAGTAATAATGTTCATCCTCCAGGAGGAAATTAGAAAATAGAACATATCTTGTTCTTGGCTTCATTAAAGGTTAAACTTCATGAACCTCCATGACGGTAGTAGAGCACAGACCGATAGAGGGCAGCAACGTGGAGAAAACAGAGGAGTACTATAAGAATATCATCCAGGAAACCAACTATTCCCAAGATTGCTGAGATTTGACAGCCACAATGTTATAACCAATGTTAGTAACAATATGGTTTACCAGTTTAACTCAATGGAACAAAAGCAGGATAAAAATGGTACCTTCTGGGATAATGTCTATGGGGCTTAATACGTAGGCAACACTTAGAAACATCTGTGAATAAGAAAGAGAATGAGACTTTCTTTTCTTTTTGTTTAGGGAGGGGGTTTCTAGAGAGAGTAATAATATTTTTAAGAGGAGTTGGAAAAAGTGAAAAAAATAGAAGTATAAGATCATGAATTTTTAAAACTATATAACAATGCATAAAAAATTTAAAAAATGTAAGCCTTACAAAAATCATAATTAGGTATGAGCAGAATCATCTTCAGCTAAGGTAGCTCAGATGATAAGGATCATAGATAGGCTAAATTGACTTAACTGCAATATAAACACGTGCTTGGATAACAAAAGGAAGCGATCTACTGGGGGTTATCATTTCCCTTAACAACCTCCGCAGCAGAAAAGGAAGGTCTTGGAATCTCTGAAGGAAACAGAAAAGAATTCAAACTTCAACTCTCAGTAGTTATAAATGAATAAATAAGTGAAAATGGTAAGTCACAAGAAAATTTTTCTCCATTTTATACAGTGCTTCATATACATCTCTCTTATTTGTCAAAGAAATGAGACAAAGTTTCAACTTTATGCTCAACTAATTTCAAGTCTTGGACTAGGGTCACTTGATATCTAATAATAATGATTTTAAAGCCATCACTCAATAACTCTAAATGAAACACTTGATCATGAATGGAATGACTAATGAAAGGCTGACCTAAATAATAATTTGAAATTTAAGTTAACTAATGCATTTAAAAATGAGAGAGAGATAAGAGACCAAAAAGACATAGTACTAAAACGTATACAGTAAATAATCAAAAGATTGAAAATCAAAGCATCATTTCAGAAGGGGGAAAGCTTCAATAGAAGGATACGTAGATGACAAACTTCTATTTTGAAAGAGAACTTCCTAACTGATACAGATGCCAGGGTGCCCAAACTGATAAGGGCACGTCTACCAAGACGCAAAGAAAAATCAACACTAAAGAAGAAGCAAGTCTACAGCTGTGGTCTCTAATCTATTTGATGCTGCACTTGTTTGGTACCACCATAACCCATGAATAATACTAGAATAATTATTAATTTAAGCCCCATTACAATTCTGATATTAATTTATGGCTAGTAGAAACTTTCTTTTGCTTAAGTTTTAGGTCCTTGAGTGAGAGAAGAAACATCAAATCAAGGCATCACTCAATTATTTCTCTGCGAATACGATAATGAATATTTCCTAATTCAAACAAACATAAGTTTTAAGGTACTACATATTATGAAATAAAGAAGAGGTGACATAAAACTACAGGCAATAAATCCATGATCACAGCAAAGTAACCTCCTTTTAAGGCAATAAAATTTCACAGAACAATCTGCTTGATCGCATATGAGAATTAACAGAGAAATATATACCTGACGGACACCCCTGGTTTGTCCACCAAAAAGTCGATTATACTTTTCAATATTTTCCAGAACCTCAGCCACAGCTGGGTTACGACGCTCCCTTAATGAAGCCTCACCAGGAACCAACAAAGTAATCTGACAACGACATAGTGGGCATTTACATGGGAGAAACGTTGGTCCATGTTGCCAATATTGCATAATGCATTTCCCTGGATAATCAAAGAAACCACAATAGTTACTATAAAATCAGAATACTTGCCAATCTATTAAAACAATGGGAGAGAATATAGATCATGACACTTACAAGTATGAAGCTAAGCTTAATTTTCTAGTTTACAATAGAATTCATATGCTTTATTACTGTCCTCTCTCTCGCATCTATTTCATCTTTGTCCCACTGCTCTCTAGCAAAACCTTCCACAGAATTTCACACTAAAAAAGACTTTATCTCAACAACTTCCCCGATTTGGCAATAAAACTTGACCCGAGTCTCCTATACCGTAAAGCTGCTTAATTTGGGGTTTCTGAGTCTTTCCAAGGAACTTCATTTGAGTCTACATCATCAGTAATGCAACTTGAGCAGTATCAGGGGGATGACATGTACGATTCACTGCACCATAATTAGACTTGATCTTAAAAGGGTACCTATATTTGAGGTTCTTAATTCTTATTAGAGGTTCATTTAATCAGTTCACTAGATCACTAAACCAGTTAGACTTGGTCTCAAGTTCACTAGATCACTAAACCAATTAGACTTGATCTCAAAACATTCATCTACACTGTAAATGGAAAGGGAACCCAATTCGCAACAAGAAGTAGAGATAGAGGAATCCCAAATCAAATTAGAACTAACATTGAATGCTACATGTTTAAGCAAGAAAAACAAAAAGGAAATTGAATTTGAGAGTATATATATCTATATATTTATATATATATAGAGAGAGAGAGAGATTTCGAAGGGAAGCAAAGAGACAAAAAGAAAGGTACCGCAGAACCAGTGAGAGCAGTTTGCTTGACAGGGAACCTCGAACCTTGCCATGCAAATAGAGCAGACATCGTTGGCCGGAGGTCCCTCCATCACTCGATCTTCGTCTCCGCGTTTCTATCGTCGATCTGCTTCCGGCATGAATAAGCTTGAAGACTAGTGGGGGGGGGAGCGATGGATACGTCACCGTAGTCGGTAGACCTGTGGGTCCCACACGGAGATTACCCACCCCACGCGGCCAAAGACTTTGTTTACGTCAACGTCTGGTCGGTCCCCGCATCTTTTAACGGTTAACAAATTGGATCCTATACTTACGTTTTATTCGATTGAGTCCATCAAGACTCTCTGTTGTTTCCTGAGGAAAAAAAAATCATTTTTCTCTGGAAGAGTAAACGAAGCAAATTACTTCTTTTTCTCTGTAAAAAAAAATGAAAAAGTGTTACGTAATATGAACTGATTTAACTGTATAATTTTAATTATTTGATAAAACAAGTTTTTAATATTAAAAACTTTTCACATTTAATTATTCTTGTTTTACAGTATATCGTATTCCTCTAAATTATAAAATATAAAACTCTAAAAGAAAAATGTATTAAGATTTATGATAGTGTAAAAATCAGAACATCTTAAAAACTAAAACATCAAAAATTATAATGAAAATACTTCAATACTTTTAACGAATCACTATATAAGTAAGATTCATTAAGGATATTGCAACAATTAACCCGGAGTACACAGCAGCTAGGCTGTTAAGTATTTTCTTAAGCTGAACAAAGGCAAGCAGCCTGAAATCATCACCTTAATAGCTTAGAAGAAAACTGAAATGTCAGAGCTACCTGTGGCAGTCTAAACGGATGGCAATATACAAGAACATGCTCAGATTTAGGGCCACAGCAAGGAATTATTTTTATTTCTCCCAAGTCATGTTTACTCCGTAGAATTACATAACAAAAGGTAACAGAATCTGTATGAAATTACGCAACGCATAATGGTAATTGTTTGTCTTTGACAACAATGTATGTAAGTACATCATCAGAAGCAATTCAGGGCAAAAAAAAGCCAACAACCTCAACTTAGGAAATTCGGATTTTGATCCTGTCAACTTGACGGCTACTTCAAGTCACTCTTGCACATCCTGGAAACAGGAAGAAAAATAAATTTTTGTACTGAGATCCTTATTGACAATATAAATGAAGTAGAGTCGTGGACCTTCAACATTATCTAAAAAGCAAAGCAGGATGATATATGTCAAAAATAATATTGCAGCCATCAAAATCTCAGCAGTCTAAGCTTTCTTTATCTAAGCCATTGATTATCATTGCAAAAGTAACTTGGTGAGAAAATAAGAAATGGCCAGCCCCCTCCTCCCTAGCCTAAAAAAAGACACATTCATTGTACAATATAATTTTTGAATTAGTAAATAAACTTGCTGATTAACTTTCAAAACCTCCAGCTATAAAATTTATATTAACTTACTTCCAAACTTAAAAATTTGAACTCTTCAGAAGTAAGCTCTGAAGTCTGAAGCATATAACGGTTTTGGTGTTTAAGTATAGACAGCCAACATAATTACTCAACAAATCACCTTTTGTTTATAAATACAACACAACAAAATGCGCAAAGCAAGATATTAGTATTTGTGCACCACCTAAAAAGAAAAGAAACAATCATTTTTTTACTTCCACCCTGAGCGTAAGGGGCATGGGGGGACTGGTCTTTCGAAAGATTAAACTCATATATTTGCATAAAAGATAAGTCCTACCTGGGAAGGAGGAGGAGCATCTGCAAGTTCTGAAGGAGCTGGCTTTGCAGGAGACCCATCAAATATACGAGAACACTCAGTGTATGCAGACCCAATACCCACGCCAGCACCAAAAGCTACAGATGCCCATCGAGTTGCTGGACTCCCTGGTATTGCAAGTCAGAACAGATGCACATCATAAATTAATATGGGGCACTCAAAGGCAAAAAGAAATAATAAAAAGTGTCCAATAAAATGCAATGCAAAGCAACAGAACTTAAATAATCTGTCTGCAGCTGACATAAGTATCCAGTCAAATTTCACAAATGCAACATCATTCATAATCATACTTCTTCAATTTGATCCACTGCCATCATCAATTTTATGCAATCTGTAATGTTAACAAAATTTGCAAACATTTCCCACTAAAAGCAGATAAATAGAATATCCTAAAAATACACTTTCACTAGCATCTAAATTTAAATTGGGTATCATCGTTCATATGGATTGAAATTGTCTTTTTTCACAGCTTGTGCCTTGTACATGTTTATAACGTACACACTAGTGAGAAGCCAAGTTATTAAACACCCATTTCCAAAAGCATTTGACCACAAGAGACAGCATCAATCAGCAAAGAAGAAACGCTTCAAGCCAGCCAGCAGTAGTCTAATTAACAATGAAAAAATCAGGCATCTTATGCACAAACTGAACCAGAAAATGGGCACTAATTCAATCATTCAGATATCAACTTGCAATACATTCTGCAGGATACCTTTCTAAGACCCGGCAACAACATAAGTTGCAGTCTCTTCTAGTTCTTTCCTAATTCGAAATGAGAAATTCTCTAGTTTCTAGATTAGGATAACAGATTTGCTGAATTCAACAAAAATTTAAGGTAACAGAATGAGAATCTAGCAGTACAATACATCAGAAATCATTGGTAAATGAAAATAAAAGAGAAGCGATGGAGGGAGGGAGGGAGGGAGGGAGAGACAGACTGAAGAGAAGGAGGCCGCCGAAAGTCCCAGCCAGGGAAGAGTAAACGAAGCGACGGACGGTCAGATCGAGACAGGCGTCCCACTTTGCGTTGATGTCGTACTTCGCCGGCAACAGTTCCTTGTTCTCCGCCATTAACCCTTCTTCTTTCACTCTATATCAATTAAGATTTCTCCTCCTTCCTTCTTTTTCGTCTTCTTCTGGTTTCTTCTCTCCGTCCGGATTCTCGCCGTTGCTTGTCGGGAATTTCCGAGTTCGGGAAACAGAACGGAGGAATTTCCTCTTACTCTCTTCTTTTGGGGTTTCTACTTTCTAGGCTTCAAACCATCTCGGGTTTCAAGTTGGGCTTTGAAATCTTGGGCCTTGTTCATATCATGAATCTAAATCTAATACTATCTATGGGCTAGCCCAGTTTCTTCTTTTCATTTTTAATATAGGAGTGTAGATTAGAAGTGTAATTATTAATTTTTTAATATTAATTAGTATTAAAAAATTTTAAAAATATTATTAATTTAACCTCATGTGCCACGGAATTTAAATAAAAATAAATTTTTGTTTTTTCAATATTAATTAATATAAAAAATATAATAATTGCACTTTAATATGCACTTAAAAAACCCCTCGGTAAAAAGGCAAATAAGGACAAATTGTTGCTCCGAAGTTGTAATTTAAGGACGACGACTTCCAATTAGACTAATTAAGGACAGAAACTCAGAAGTTGGTGGCTTTTTTTTTTTTTTTTGAGCAGTTTATAATTTGGGGGATTAAGGGCATTGTTGGAAAACTAGATCAGATTGATCAGTTGAACAGGTCGAACTAGCACCCGATACTAGAAACAAGTTGCATGAGTATTTCAAACCGTTTAAAACCACTCAAATTATCTAAATTGATAAGAACCGATAACCCATCCAATCGACCAGACCAACCATAGAGACAAAATTCTCCAAAATTTGTCTCCTTGGGTTTCTAACACCAAGCCTCATATAAGGTTAGCAAGCCATTTGCCATCGGGGCACCTTGCCTCTTGTGAATAAAATTGCAAAGAATATGTTTTAAAAAATGTTAGAAAGATTTTAAAGGGAATATGAGTACATGAGGTTTGAACAGTAACAAATTTAAGTTTGTTGTAGTTTTATGCATTAAGATTTATTTATCATACAATTACATAATTTAAATAAATTTAACACTTGCAAGATTCAAACTCTGGTTTTTCTCAATATAATTAAAAGTTTCTTACCATTAGAGCCACGACTAATTCTTTAATTTAAGTTGTATTATATTATATTTAATATATATTTTTAAAATTTAATCAATTTGGTTTTTTTGATTAAACCGATTGAATTGTCAAAATCATGAATAAAAAGTCAAAACAGTTTGAATACAATTTTAAAAACAATGATTAAGGGAGGAAATTTTTAAAGACATGGATAAGATTTGAAATCTTGATTAATTAATTGAATCATTTTAAAATTTAAGATCGAAACCATTTAACTTAAAAGGTTTGATTCCAAAAATTAATGTGTTTTTTTTTTTTAAATAAATTATCAAAAAATGAATTCAAGGTTGTTCATGAAATAAAGAGAATATACCTCAAGTTGACAGGGTGTCAGCTCACCCGAAGTGTAAGTGTCAAAAATTAATGCATTTAATGACTCGTTAAACCAAAAAAAGTCATATAGCATAAGCTACAGGATCAAAGTCAATCAGATGAAGATGAGCTCATTGACCGTAAAAAAAATGAAATTAAGATATAAAATATAAATTTTATTGAGTTCTGTGCATCCGAAGTCGGTGTCATATAGATATTGACATACGGAAAGATCTTTAACATTTTTTTTTTTTGTTATTTTTAGACTAGGTCAAGAAAAGATAAAGAGAAGATAAAGAGAAGATAAACCTCCAATAATTGAAGTCAGTTTTTATGTTTTTCTTTTTTTTTTCTTTTTTGTGAAAAGTTTTTATGTTGTTTGAAATTAATTAATTTACAGCTAATTTTAATGGCATATTTTTTGTATTTATTTAATTTTGATTTAGTTATTAAGGTGTTTTAAAATTAATTTAAATATATTTTAAAATTAATTTTTTAATTTTAATTAAACATAAATCATTTACATCCAAATAAAAAATTAATAAAAAAATTATCTCTACATTAATCTCTTCAAAAAATTAAATCTTAATTAAAAAAATAAGAAACAAGTTTCTTTACCAATTAAAACATAATTATTTAAATTCCACATCTATTTAATGCATCTAAAAAAACTATATTTTTAAGCATCAACCTAAACACTTAACCCTTAAATTTAAGATATGTTTAGTTTAAATTTTTTTTAAAATATTTTTAAATTTTTTTTAAAATTATTTATTTATTTTCACATATTAATATTA